TAATATTATATATAAATATGTATATATATATATATTTAAAAAGAAAAAAAAGAAAAAACAAACTCGAGAAAATACATTATAATGCATTATTCCGTTAGAAAAAAAAAAAAACAGTAAAAACGTACAAGAAGCTTATGCTTTAGTAAATTCTCCTTATCTCCTCGCGTTTATCGTTAAAATCTTCATAAAATAAAAATCATGATGAGAGAAACGTATTTAAACGCAAATTCCTTTGGATAATAGACAACGAGACAGATTGAATCGTCCGAGAAGTCCTCAGACAAATTAGCAAACGCGCAAACAATGACGTAAACGTTTTAACGCTGTGAAAATGCATTACTTGCATATATATATATATATATATATATATATATATATATATATATATATATATAAACACATATAGCTATGTGCACATATATATGTATATGTATATATCTACGTATATACTAATATATTTACATATGTACATTGGAAAAAAAATATTCTTGCCAGATATAGATCCTTTGACACTGTATGCACTGTACGTAAAAAATATTTTTTGCATCACTATAAGCCGAAGAAATATTTAGGTGACCTTAAAAGAAACATCCTATATATAATATATATATATATATATACATATATATATATACATATATAAATATACATATTTATATATTCTTATAGATGAACAGGTATATATATATATATATATATTTGTATATACTTATTGGAGTACAGGTCCATTGACGAGCGATGCAACGAGGAAAGTAAAGAGAGGTGTACGAAGAGTTCAAAATGACATAGTAGACTCGGAATAATGGCTCCCATTGAATCCATCTCTTTCTTTTTTCATATTACTAGGGAAGCACACACGCTCCCTCTTTTAAAGAAGAAAAGGAAGATAGAGAAATAGAGAAAGAGGAGACGACGTATGGTTTGACACTTTCGTGACGGTTTCCGCAGCACAACGAGGCTCGCGCTCATTAGGGAGACAGGTTAAAGCTCGATTATACAGCCGTTAACGCGGCACGATGCACGCGCGAATGAGAATGACGCCGGTGATAAAACTGCCGGGATATGGCATTGCTTCTACGAGGTGACCATGAAGAAGTGGCTCTTTCACTTTCCGGCCGCTGACTCTCTCTCTTTCTCTTTCTCTCTCTCTCTCTCTCTCTCTCTCTCTTTCTCTCTCTTTCTTTCTCTTTATTTCTCTCATTCCGTTTCCTTTCTTTGTTACCATCGAGGCTTCCAGTCGATCAAAGACCTCCAACACATACTTACATACACACCAAGAGCATGGTACTCTGATCGAGCTCCCATCGAGCACCGCCTCTTCGAAAGATTTCAATGTTCCGTTCCATGAAATAAAAATTCTTAAACGAACGTAAATGCGCCCTCTTAACCCTACCCACTCACTCGCTCGCACGCTCGGACTCGACGAGCTTCGTTACCGTGTCTTCTCTTCTACGAAAAAAACCGACTAGCTGTGGCACCTTCGATGAATCATAAAAGGGTGGAAGGATTCCTCTCTCTCTCTCTCTCTCTGTCTCTCCCCTCTCCTCTTTCTCTCTCTCTCTCTCTCTCTCTCTCTCTCTCTCTCTCTTTCTACATACATATATATATATATATATATATATATATATCTAGCTCTTTGAGATGTACTCCAAGATGTACGATTGTATCGTAACGATGGTCTATGTCGTTCTAAGAATATTGTATCGTTTGATGTATCAAGAGATTCTTCTATTGTACTTAGAAATCTAGTTAGAAGGCTTTAGTTTTTGAAATCATTGATAATGATAAGATGATAACGAGGATAATCCCAAAGTCCAATAATATTATTTATTTGTACTAGTGAACGATCTATTTCCTTAAAATGAAAAAAAAAAAACGATCTATTTCTTATATTTATAATTATATGTTATAGAAACAAAATATTATTAGAAATTTTTTTACTGATTGAATTTATAAATTTTGTAAGACTGAAATCTTCAAAATAGTTCGATATCTATTTAAAATCTAAAAGAGACGTTCCCGAAATATATGCGTAAACACATCTTTTTCGTTAAGTTTACGCAGCTGATGTTCGTATCGTTTGATACGCATAACACCTATTCGAAAATTAAACATCATTTATTATCTACAAAATATTATGAAATCATAACGTCGTTCATTCTGTACAAGCGAATTAATATTTTGACAACGACAGAATGTATGGCGTAATAAATGTTTTACTAGTAATGTATATACATATGTATATAATCAGCTGTAACGATATCTCAATTTTTTACTTTTGATTTGAAAATATTTTTTTTTATCTTTCATCCTTCTCTCTCGATTATTTCTTATTACCAGAAACGCATCGAAGAGAATAGATAAAAATGTTTTAATAGTACAACTAATTTCTTCGATAATCCATCTATAAAACGTTTCGCAATGGGACGGGAAATAGTATTCCCTTCTATAAGACTCTAACGTCATTACGCAGGGAATTAGTTTCGAATCACGTAAAAGGAAGCAATCATACCGTCGATCCTTTCTATTTTAACCGGCAGCTCACATACGTACGAGTAGGTAGATTTTGCTGGACACGTAATTTGTATAGGGTGTTTCTAAAGATTATTAGTTCATTAAACTAATAAATTAAAGGAAAAGTTTCTCAGTAGAAAATTTGCTTATTCAAACGCAGTCACGCACGCACATACGTATACATAGATTCATACGCGCACATACACACATGCACACTTATTATTATTTTTCCATATTATTAATATTAATAATAAATCTATAGGATTAATGATAATAAAACAGATTATTCAAACATGTTCTCTCATTTTGGTAACATCCTGTATAAACGACGTTTCAAAATCTAATAAATAATAATCCTTCTCTTAAAGTAGTCAGCCTCCAAAAAAAAGGACGTCGATGGTCGTACGAGAACCGTGTAAGATTTCATAAATCTGGCATCTAAATGAAATTGTAATTAATATTTCGAACAACAACTTTGAAACGTTCGTTGTCGATCTCTCGACGTGAGAATCGAGTTTCTTACGAAATATATACCTTTTTTTTTCTTTATCCTTTTTTCCGTTTTTTTTTTTTTTTTTTTTTTTTTTTTTTTTTTTTTTTTTTTTTTTCTTTTTTACCACGAATGATACCTCCGTAGTGGGACGTTAACAACGACAAAAATATACATCCCGTTTTCCATGAACGAGAAGAGAATCGTAAGAGTACCACGGTTGATGAAGTCTCTCGGCCCAGTAGCTGTGCCTACCGGCTACTTCTTGTCCGCGATAATAATAATGGTTGGTGATTCGAACGGGGTAGCAGCGCCATTGATAGACCATATGGCGTGTGCACATTCCATGGATTTAATTGCCTTATATCGCGCAAGAGTATATACCGCAAGTTACGAGAGTGAGCGAGAAAGAGAGAATGAGGGAATGATAGAATGAGAGAGAGAGAGAGAGAGAGAGAGAGAGAAGGAAAAGGGATGGAGAGTAGGAAGGTAACCGTCGATCCTCTCGATGTACTCGCACCGATGAATAATGAGTACTCGGTATATAATGCGTTTACCAACTGATATCTTCTCTGACTGATCGAACGATCTTCGATCGTGTATATTCTTGAATACTTTTAATGTTCGTAAATTCTTCTCGCCAAAGTAATACTTAACGTTCTTACTATCTCAGATCTCATCTTCGATAGTCAATTTCAAGAGATCTAAATTTCTACGTGACATTTAAGAACTCGACAGCTAAAGAGAATCTTTCATGAGTATTCATCTCCGTTTATACAAACAGAATTCTAAGAGCACGAATTCGTTGATTTCATTTATCACAACTGTAGCTTTACGTAACGATCTACGATCTACCAAAGGAGTATAACTATGTAACCACATATGTATACTTCTATATACTTATCTGTAAAACGATTGTCGATCGAACGCACGATCACATTAAATGTTAATGTATTTACTTGTTCTATGAGTATTACGTAAAGGACTACTTTCGAATGTATTTATATTGGCTTTGGTAGTCAATCTTTTTTTTATTGAATCCTAATGTATTAATATGGATCAATTAATCTGAGAGAAAGACGGAGAAGGATTTTATAGTCACTTAGGCATTTAATTTTATACTTACGTAACGAACAAGAAGACGACGATCAGATATTCCAAAATGTTCGAATTTTACTACAAGGATTCGCATGCGTTCGATAACATCCGCGTTAGTTGCAAAAGATTTCGTGGGGGGTCGGGAAGGTCATCATACTTCTACTTATTTTTTCTTCTTGTTCTACTTCTTTTTCTTCTTCTTTTTCTTCTTCTTCTTCGTCTTTTTCTTCTTCTTGAAATTCTCATTAACTATACTTTCGAGGCTGCATCATTGCTCGAGCTATAAAAGATGATTTCGACATTTCAAATCGGGTTCTTGAAATTGATATGCTAAGCAGATAATCATAATGATAATGATAATGATAATGATAATGATAATGATAATAATAATAATAATGATAATAATAATAATAATAATAATAATAATAATAATAATAATAATAATAATAATAATAAAGGTACCAGTTCATTGTGCAACGTGAATGTATATGACGTGATAATTATCTTTTATAAGAAGATACGTACTCGAATAAAAATTAGAATTGTTTAGATCGAAAATAATCTTCTCGAAAATCCGATTTACAAATTTATTTATTGAAAATAAAAAAATAAATGCGTTAAATCATAATGATCGATAGTTGCAACTTTCACATATGAATTAATTAACGGGATACGTAAATATTGATTATTGGAAAAACGTCATCGAAATTGTATTTTAATCTACATTTCACGCAATATCTCAAATCGAAGAGTATTCGCAGCTGTTAATGAAAACATTAAATAAACACCGTATTCGTATATAAATTTGTTTCAAACATCGACTCGACTTATTGTATCGAAAGATTTTGATAGAAAGATCCATCGATCGTTCAAAGAAAAAATAAAAACTAATGTAAAAATGGCACGTAGAAATTTTCCAATCGTTATTTGCCTTTTGGCAGCTGCCATCGGCGCTGGTAAGTGATCAAGAAAGATTTAGAAGAAGAAAAAAAAAATATATATATATATATATATTTTTTTTTCCTTTTTCTTTTTGTAATTTTAACACAAATTTAAAAATTCTTTTTTCTAATGAAACATACTTTTGTCCATCAGTACACGGTGAGGCACCTGAAGCTTTAGTCGGCGCTTCACTCGCTAAAGATAACGAATTTCCATACTTGGTATCCATAAGATTGAATAATTATTTACACTGTGGTGGTGCTATCATTGATGAATATCATATCCTTACCGCCGCTCATTGTATTGTACCTTTATTAAGCAAAAAACCTGGTGAGGTAACCATTGTTACTGGTACGAATAATCTTTACTCTGGCGGTCAACTTTACAAACCAAAATTATACGTCGCTCATCCTGACTATGACTCCGATAAAGCTTGGGTAAATGACATCGGTGTAATCAAGGTGAGTTTAATAATGAATTTGAACTCGAACAGAATTGAATATTTCTATATCGATATCTCTTTCACGTTTTAAAACATACTTGACGTAATAATTTGTTTTATTTAATCCATAGAAATTTATGATATAAATATAAAAGATCTTTCTTAATACTTTATATTTAGAAAATATCGTACATATGGATTATTCTTAAAAAATTTTCTTTCGCTTTCTCATTCATTCTTTCTCGATTTCTTTTCTTCTCTCATTCTCCCTTCGAATTTTTAATATTTAAAAATCATTTATTTCTATTTCTTATAGCTTTCCAGCGCAATTCAATTCAATGATCGTGTAAAACCTATTGCTCTTCCAAACACAATGCCACCAGTTAACGTTCAGGCTTTGATCGGTGCTTGGGGTGCAACATCTTCACCACCAAGGAATATCTCTCCTTTACTTAGAACATTGAAACTCAAATTATTGTCTCAAAAGGAATGTCAGCGCTTTTTCAAAGACATAGTTATCCATTCGAATCAAATCTGTACTCTGGTTCAAAGGAACGTTGGCACGTGTTCAGTAAGTATTGATAATTCATCGAATTACATTGAAACGTTTCATTCTTAATTATTAAATTTTAATCGAATATTTATTATCTTTAGGGTGACAGTGGCAGTCCATTAGCCTACAATAATTATATAATCGGTGTCGTCTCCGGTGGAATACCTTGCGCCCAAGGAATCCCTGACATCTTTACTAACGTTTACAGTCATCTTAGCTTTATCTTAGATGCCTTGTCTCGTTAAATTGAATTTAATACCCTTTTACGAACAAACTGATGATTCTACGATTTATTTTTATGATTACATGTTCAATAAATATTTTCATCGATACGTTTAATCCTTTTCTTCGACCTTATTTAATATTTTTGATATCTCTCATAATACCTTCTTTTCCTATCTTTATCTAAATCGATAGTACAAATTACATTGATAATTCGGTATAATTGCATTTATAATATTTCTTAAAATAAATTTTTTTAAATATTTAAAACTTTTAAACTTCTTAAAATAATTATTTGATATTAATTATCGAATTGCCATTTATTTAAATAATTATTTAATATTAATGATTGAATTGTCATTAAATATAATTAAAAAGAAATAATATTAGAAGTGATAATAATGATTAATAATGTATCGTTTAATGTCACATTCATTTCGATTTAAAAAAAAAAAAAGAAAAAGAAAAAGAAACTGCGTTAGTTCTCGATTATTCATTTGTTAATATATTCTTTATACATCAACAAATAATAAGAGTAAATATTAAATTCGATCGAAACAGCTTTATTTGAATAATCAGAAATTATATGAAAACTATACACATATCGACGATAAGCGTGTTATCTCAAAAGTGTTCGTATTGATACTTAATTAATCTGCATATAATTACAGATAAAAATATCCGTAATTCTTATGTCTACATTCTAAATGAATCGATAGACAGATCAAAACTAATTGAAATATTCTAAGTTGATAATATTTGACAACATTCAATCGAATATTTCTAATCTGTGTATTTTTCATCAAATTTATAATACTTGTCATATATGTATATTATAATATAATTAACGCTTTTATTGTATTTACTTACTTTGTATTATTACATTATCGTACTCAATAAAAATAAAAATCACTTTTTCAATAGATATATATATATATACATATATATATATATATATATATATATATATATTTATTCTTTTTATTTATTTAATAATATTTGCCAAAAAATTTACAAGTATCTCGAGAAAATATGTAACACTATTCCAAGTCGACATGATCAATCATTGAATCCTTTTTTTCTCACGAATATGTTTGAGAAATTAAGGATAAAAATTATTATAAATAAGAAATTTGACAAAAAAAATTGTTAAATTTCAAAATTAAACGGTTTATTAATTTAGCATAGCATTTCTAATAAAGGTGACGTGAGACGAGACTTTGGTAAAGACATCAGGTACTCCGACAGCACAAGGAATAACCCAAGAAACAATACCAGCGAGATGGCCGTTGTATGTAAGCGGGCCACCACTGTCACCCTGTGAATAAAAAAAAAAAAAAAGACAAGTGTTAATAATTATCAATTTTACAATTAAAAAATGTCGATTTTGATTACTTGAATGAATTTTCCTCACCTGGCAAGCACCAATTCCTTTGTGATTAAGTGCACAAATATGACTTTGATAGATTGTTAGCGAGTGTTGTTTTTGGCAAACATTATTATTTGTAGAATACATGTCGGCCTTTAATAATACATTAGAAATTGGACCGTTCGCATAAATTTTACCCCATCCACTCAAATGAAGTAAACTATTGTCTGGTATTTCCGTATCGAGCAATGGAATAGGCCTCTGATAGATGTTGAAATTTATAGGTTCTTCAAGCTGCAAAGATAAATTATTGTTAAAAAAAAAAAAATTATTAAAAAGAAAAAACCGTTTGCTTAATATATTATCAAAAGAAAAAAATGTTAAGCGTCGATGAATTCTTTTAATAAATAATTCGTACTTACCCCAAGAACAGCTACGTCGTTGATCCAAGAGGTTTGCGATGTACCTATGTATCTGGGATGGACACTAACAGATGCGATATTGTGAGTTTGACCACTATTACCAAGATAAATAGTTCCAGATACAATGGTATAGTAAGGATTGGGAATATTAACCCAATTATTAACACAATGAGCTGCAGTAACGATGTGTCTCGAAGAAACGATACTTCCACCGCATATGTGATTTCCATTCACTCTGAGGGAAACTTGATAGGGAAATTCACCAATAGCTGCAAGACTGCCTCCTACTATACGTTCGGGTGCTTCGGCGCATGCTTCTAAATAAACAAATGAAAATTTTCAATGATGATCAACGTTGAGGTATTTCAAGAAAAAAAAAAAAAAAAAAAAAAAATGACGATAATACAGTATTAAATAATTATGATACAATTCATCGTGAAACATTATTCTTGAAATGAAATTTCTACTCTTCTCTTAATTCGAACTTTCTTCTTTTCCTTTTTATTTTTTTTTTCTTTTTTCTTTTCTTTTCTTTTCTTTTACCTCTAGCAAGAACACCAAGCACGAAAAGAGCCAGATATGACATTCTAAAATCCATGCTGACAGTTCCAATGATTTGACAATGAATGGAATGAAAAAGAATCTCCTCTTATATATATATATATATACTTGAATAAATACATACTTGTAAATTGGTACTTATCATCGTCCTTGATTTGCAGCTGCTTTTCTTTCCTAAAACAAACAAATCCATAAAAGGGAATACGTGCGTTATCGTTATTTTAATCTTTGTTATCATTGATTAGGTATTATAGATTATAAAAAGCCCAATTATCCGCATTAAAAAGGAATAAAATCAGAAATTATTGAATTTTTAGGTGATATCAGTTTCACTGATTTTTGTTATTAATTCAATTTATTATTATTAATTCAATTTTTGCACAAGAGTTTAATCGTGAGATAAATCAAAATGATGTCATAGAAATCATTGATACGCGAGAATTCGACAATTATATATTTGTTTATACTATCGATTTCATTTTCACAATCTTACATTTTCGATAGATCTTTTTTATGTATTTAATTTTACTTTCATTCGATATTTGATAATCTATCTGAGAATAAAAGAAAGAAATACTGTTATAGAAAGAAATTATCGCAAATCATATTAGATTTAAAAATCTTCCCATGTTTATTTATACATTTTTTTTTTGTATTAAATTTTATTAAAAATTATACGTGACGCAATTTAGTCTCGTACTATCGATCGATCGAGTTATCCAAAAGGAAAGAAAACTAAAGTCTTAATTAATGGCGTCTGTGTGCTCTCTGACGTCATCTGCTTCAGTGTCCTCCATTTGAAATATGTTTTTGAAATATATGGGTCAAATAGAGAATTACGAACACAGATTACATTATCTTCCTTTTATAGTAAGAAAAAGAAAACCATATTATAGAATTCAAATGATATCAAATGATATTTCGTGTTTGAGTGATATTTGTCTAAAAAAAAAAAAAAAAAAAAAAAAATGGAAAAAAGATAAACTTCGTTTAGTCTCGTAAAAAAATGTATTTTTCCATTTATTTTATACTTTACAGAGACACAGACACACACGCAGACGCTATATTATATTATATAAAAGTATTCTTACACAATTGTTCTGGTAAAAAAGAATCAAAAAAAAAAAAAAAAGAAGAAAGAAAAAAAAACAGAGAAAAGAAAAAAGAACAGAATGCACAAAAGTATCGAGCCATCTTCTTTTTTGGTTTTTTTGTTTCCCTTTTTTTTTTTTTAAAGAGGGTCGAAATTCATCCTTCTCCGTTATCCCTCCGCCTTGGCAAGCTTTAGCACAGGCGCCCTTACGTCGTGTGACGTAACCAGAGAAAGTATTATCAAGGGTGGTCGTGAGATTACCTCGTGTGCTGTGCATGCGGGTCAGTGGAGCACAGGCGTCGCGACGCCACGCGTCGACGGAGCTCTGTCTCCTCTCGTTTTTATCTCTTACTTTTGATTAAAAAAAAAAAAAAAACGTCACGTCAAACAAATAAAAGATAAGGTAAAAAAAAAAAAGAAAAAAAAAAAAAAGGAAGGAAGAATCTAAGAAGGAAATTCATAAAAGGCTGAACTATCTCGAAGGATATGGCACTCGTTAGATGTTGTCTAGAAGCTGAGGTACCTGAAATCTTTGGATCACTTGTGCAAAAGTGCACCGATCCAGGTTGTAAGTACATTACTTGTTCGTTTGCATCCACAAAATCATCTTCGTTCGAAGTGAATATGATTTTAAGATAAATATGTCATACAGAATGAATCACGAGAAGTATAACACCGTTTAATATGATTTATAATGAAAAATATTTTTTCAAGAATATTTCATAAAACATTATCATATTAAAGTGACAAAGAAGTTAGAATTTATTCCGTTTCTTATGGTTCAATCTGTATAATCTATGTGGACTTTTAAAATATACATTTAAACTGTGTGTGTGTTGTGTGTGTGTGTTGTGTGTGTGTGTGTTGTGTGTGTGTGTTGTGTGTGTGTGTTGTGTGTGTGTGTTGTGTGTGTATGTGTGTATTTAACTAATATAAACACGTTATATGTGATTCTGCTTGCATAAATACGCTCTATGTTGACGTTAATTGAATTAGTAATATACTAATGTAAGTAAATGTAATATTAATATACAATAGATATATGTGTATATAAAAAGTATATCTATTTATATTTATATTTATATTTATATTTATACGTTCTAATATAATATATTCATAAATCTATTCCTTTCTATCTGTCTTTATAATGAAAAATTAAAACGTTTCATTATCATTATCTTATTTGACAATCTAATTTAAAATATGAATGACATTTTGTTCCTTTCTCTCTCTCTCTCTCTCTCTCTCTCTCTCTCTCTCTCTCTCTGTCTTTCTCTCTCTCTCTCTCTCTCTCTCTCTCTCTCTGTCTTTCTCTCTCTCTCTCTCTCTCTCTCTCTCTCTCTCTCTCTATCTGTCTTTCTCTCTCTGTCTCTCTCTCTCCCTTTTTCTTTCGCAATAACGTATCGTTATTATTATAAAAGAGAATGAAATCTAAAAACGTGTTCCATGTTTTCTTACGGTAATTATCGTTCGAACGTCAATGGAATTGTAAATTATAACACCAACGCGTTTGTGCCTATACTTTTGTGTGTATATATAATCAAGTGTCGAAACTTTTTTGATGAAAGAGCTGTATATGGGTCAATGAAATGGAATTTTATATAAACTATCTTCAATGTTAAAAATATGTCATCATCAATAGAGTGTACACAGCTATGACGCAAAATAATTTTTATTCTTTCCAATATGTTCAAATGTCTTGATACGTGCGACGATTTCTAAACGTGTGTAATCATCGATTAGTCGTGTCTGTACTTAGTCCCACACATCAGTCTTCAATAACAATTGAGAATACTTTCTTGACATTGAACATATCTTATCAGATTATCAATAAAAAAAAAAAAAAGAAAAAAAGAAGAAGATAGAACGTCATTAAAACGATATTATCTTATTATCGTTTATCATTTTATTCGTATAAATTAATGATAAACGTATTGAAAATGCAAAACGTCGATCGTTATTTTGAATAAACAAGTAGATAATAAAATTATTCGAATATATATATATATATATATATATATATATATATGTATTGTTTAATAAAAAAAAATTGAAAGATACGACTTGACATAAATAATTTCTAAGTAAGAAAAATTAAGTCAAACTTTTTCAAAGCTTTGACATTGAAAATTATAATCATATTTTTTTCAATGATAACTTTTAATATTTACTTTGAGTTCTACTATTATCTTAAGAAAAACGTTCGTATTATCTTTCAACGGCAGACCATTTTCTATTCACGATATTATTGATCGTTTCTGCAAGGATGACCAATCCGTCTTAAGTAGCGTTCAAACTATGTGCGCGTGCTATTATTGATTTCCGAAGACTTACATCGACGTGGTAAAATTCCCATGGCTATTTCAAAGTCTAAAAACATCTTTTATATCGTTGAATATCTATGTGTATACGTAAGTACGTACACAAATGTCTATCATATATAATATAAAATTACATTTACATTTTATTATCAAATCCGTAAAAATTATACGTTAATGCCATTGTTTATATTTTATCACGAACAATACCAAGACTTTCATGTCCGCTAAGACGATAATTAATTTATTCATCATAAATCTACTTAGCGATATCATTAATTCTCAATGAGCTCTTGTTAATGTTTAATTCATGACGTTTCATCGTCCGTTCTATTACTATTTGCATATAAACGTTTTCTCTCTCTCTCTCTCTCTCTCTCTCTCTCTCTTTCTCCCTTTCTCTTTCTCTCTCTCTCTTATTCTTTCTCGATACTATTCTAATACCTTTTAATACGTTCTATCTCCAATTATTCGATTCTAATCATATTATTCTAAGAAACTTTGAATAATATGATTACTCATTCAGAAAAAAAAAAAGAAGAAAAAAGAATATCCGAATAAATACTATGTTATTCAAAATTTTTTTCATTCATGAGAATTAGAATAATCCTGCCATCGAACGATCGTTGCACAAACTGCAATAACGATGTTGAGGTTAGCTCTGGCAGTAAAGAAAAAAAAAAAGAAAAAGAAAAGAAAAGAAAAGTAATTGTCACGTAACAATGAATATTATAATATTTTCTAAACAATTAAACAAGCTACGTATTGTTAATATTACGTTCATTATCATTTGTTATAATTAAAACCAGGTTTAATAACAACAATCGATAAAGAAGATCACTGAACGTAATGTCTGATATATATTTTCTTGATTGAATCAAAAATTGTAACTTGTTGGTAACACAGTACACTAGGAAAATAAATTATTTCTCTTTCTCTCTTTTCCATCTCGCGATTTGACCCGACCGATAACGTCCGTAGAAATCGAAGAACGTTCGTACTGAATGCGTACAAACTATTCTCGTCAAAATGTTTGGTGAATACTGCAGTTATACGATTGTTGTTATTCATTTTTATTTCTATCATTCTTAAGAATTCTCCAATTAGATCGTATCACATTATAAATTTATTTAATATACGTTATAAATATATTTTATCTAATGAAAATTCTCTCTTATTTTTATTAGGTTGCTGCTGGTGTTGTTCCGCGTTACGCCCAAGGTACAAGAGATTAGTCGACAATATTTTTCCTGTCAACCCACAGGTACTTAATTTTCTATAATTAATTTTTTACTCGTTAATACAATTACGTGATCTTTTTATATTATAATATTTAAATATATCAGATATTAATTATTAGAACATTTATTGATATTTTACAATTTAATGTCACATAAATGTATAGATATATATCTATCTGTTTTGTGCAAAGTATATCTACTGGTTGCTATAACTATAGTCATAAGCCAAAAAATAATCAATATGGATATCAAAGTATATAAATCATTACTATGATGTTAAATAAAAATATCTTATAATCTAGGATGGCCTGGTTAAAAATAACATGGAAAAACTGACATTTTATTCATTGAGCAGTCCTGAAAAATTGGACAGAATAGGGGAATACTTGTTTCAAAGAGCTTCCAGAGATATATACAGGTAAGTATTATATAACTCTTACTTTGAGAAATGTGTGTCAGCATTTTGAAAAAAATTAATGTATATTCTTTATTCCCTGTCATTATCTCTCTTATGTCATTTTTAATTGTTATATACATATATATATTAATGGAACATTTTGTAACTGATTGGTAAAAAGAAAAATACTGACAACTTGTTATTTATGTACATCAAATGAATAAAAAATCTTTTAACAGGAGGAGAAATGGATTTGTGGTTATTGCCATGGAAGCTATGGATCAACTTTTAGTTGCATGTCATGCTCAAACTCTTAATCTGTTTGTTGAGAGTTTTTTAAAAATGGTCCAAAAATTACTGGAATCAACAGATCCTCAATTACAGATTCTAGCAACTCAATCTGTAAGTAAACATTATTGTACAAATAATTAAAACAAAAAGATATGTATACTAATCAGTAAACTAAATATTTCTTTATAGTTTTTCTTTCATACATGTATAAATATATATATATATATATATATATATATATATATATATATATATAGACACACACACACACACATGTAATAGCTAATGATATCGTTTTGGTTTTATTATGTTTATTTGTAATATAAATTAATCATATGTTTTAATTCAGTTGAACAAAGTCCTGGCTTCTTCCAGTTTGTCAGATTTGCCAACATCGAAGAAGACACGCCGTCTTATCACACACGTTACGATTTCTTTGTATCAAAATACTCTGCAATGTGCCACTCCAACCACGACGACCCCACTATTCGCAAACAAATCAGACTCGCTGGAATTCAAGGGTTGCAGGTATAATTTTATACGTATATATATGTGTGTATTGATCTATATTTGTGATCGATATAATTAATTAAAATTATTTACACATAGGGTGTTGTAAGAAAAACTCTTTCTGATGACTTAGTCGAGAACATTTGGGAACCCGTTCATATGGATAAAATCGTACCTTCATTATTATATAATATGCAAAATACAAGGTAAGTGAAAATCAAATGAAAAAGATTATATTTATATTTCATAAATATATTATTACATAGATATGCCAATAAAGAAGATGCAACACCAGAATGTCCAACTGAGGAAAGATCTGATCCACCACAATTTGCAGAAACTTGTATGCGAGAACTCGTTGGCCGAGCTTCATTCGGTCACATTAGATGTGTTATCAGACCTGTCTTAAGGTACAATACATTTTTTTTTTTTTTTTTTTTTTTTTTTATAAATAATGCAATTATTAAATAAATATCCGAATAAATTATAATAACAATTTCTTTTTCAGACATTTGGATAATCACCAACTATGGGTTCCCAATTATTTTGCTATTCATATTTTTAGAATAATAATGTTCTCTATACAGGTCGGTTAAATATTAAAATATAATGTGTAACCAAGTTTTTTTTTCTTTTTTTTTTTTTTTTTTTATGTTTTTAACATAAACTTTTACTTCCAGTCACAATATTCTTATACAGTTGTCGAAGCTTTAATGACTCATCTTGATGATCATTCAAAGTCATCTCCGAAAATACGAACGAGCATTGCCGATACATTGTCAAAAATTATTTCTATAGCAGCAGGAGAGAGTGTTGGTAAGATCTAGATATTAATAATTTATCTATGTAAAAAAAATATCTGAAGTATTTAATTGTTGTTATATATATATATATTTATTTATTTAAGGTCCTTCTGTTTTGGAGATCATCAACTCGTTATTATCTCATTTACGTGTTAGTGTAACAAGAAATCAATCATCGACCAATGATGAACAATTATATCAAGAAGCTCTTATTAATGCTCTTGGAGAATTTGCTAATCATCTTCCAGATTATCAAAAGATTGAAATAATGATGTTCATAATGAGTAAAGTTCCTTATAACCAAACAGATCGTATTATTTCTGTTGGTAAGGGAGACGTTCTACTCCAAAGTATTCTTTTAAAATCTCTCTTGAAGGTAAATTATATTCATATTTTTAACTATTTGATATAAAAGTTTCAATAAAAATTATTAATCCATATGCGAATTAACGTTATTATAGGTCGGTACAAAATATAAAACGATTCATTTAAATACAACGTTCCCACCAAGTTTCTTAGAACCATTGCTTAGAATGTCCCTGGCAGCAGATGCTGAAATGAGACTCTTAGTACAAAAAATATTTCATACGTTAATCGACAGACATAATAATATTGCAAAACTTGCAAAGCCCAAGTAAGTTAAGTTAATTAAGATCTGTGTAAATCTCAGCATAGTCAACAAATGATATTTCTATAAATATTTTATTTTATTTGACAGCGTGAATGTTGCCGAACTCGATCTGATAATCGAAAAATCGTCCAGACCGGACGTTATATTTATTAGAAAACATGGACCTGAAATTTATCTAGCACTTTATGAATCATTGGAATTAACAAGCAATACTGTTGAAAATGTGGAATCCATATATACTACTTTAGCTTTACTAGTTGTAGAACTTGCTTCGGAGGATACTATTCTAGAGCTATTAAGATTAGTTTTGAGTCTTCAAGATTTAGCACTAACAAGCGGCCAAATAAGTGTTACATTGAAATTCAATTTACATGCTATTGTAATTAGTCTACTTGTTCTAATATCTTACGTTTGTAATATTACTTCTCTTATGGATTATGCACAAAAGGTATATATTACAATATAAATCTAGATAATAAGATTATATAATGATACATTATTAGAACCAATAATTTATAAAAAAAAAAAATTTATAAAAAAGGTCGTTGAAGCTCGCCGAAAGGAAGCCCCACATTTATTACCTAATTTACAATCTCAGTATGAAAGTAATTTAACTCCAAGATTAGCAGCTACGTTATTAGTAGATCAAACTGTAGTAAGTGAATGTCTGAAAGGTGCTGGGCTTGATAGTGGAAAACTCCAGCAAGGATCTGGCTATAGTAGTACTTCTCTACAACATAGGTAACATAATATTAATTATTTTTCTTTTATATTCGACTTATATTTTATATATATAACGTATATATGTCCTTTTGAAAGGCATTCCTGGGTTGATAGCGCAGGACGAAATTCATTGGCAGATATTAACTCTGGTACTGGAGAATTAGATAGTGGAGGTTCATCTCCAGGCGTTCAAAAGGTACATTTTTAATTAATTATAATAATTATCATTGACAATACTAATGTCATTTATTCCTTTGTTAGAAACTACCTGGCGAAGAGTTAACATTTGAAAGCATGAAAAGAATTTTGACAGAAAATAATAACAATAATGTAATAGAAGAGGAAAAACGAATCCAACTTTCACAATTCTTCCGAAGTGCACCATTCCAAGATCTTGTGTCTATAACACAACCAAAGGTATTGAAAACTAATTGTTTTAACTAAAATGTATATAAATATACGACAAAATCGTATTAATTATGTATGATTATAGCATGACGTTTTACAAAGTAAATTGTCGGAAATATTTAATACATTGACGGTTGATCCACGCAATATAATACCAGGAGGACCGCAAACAGATGCCAAACCTAGTCAAACACCAGCTTATGAAATACATTTTCCAGAATTATTTGTTTACTAGAGAAAAGTAAGCGTATACATACATATATATGCATACATATACATATAATATATATATATATATATATATATATATATATATATATATATATATGCTTCTCTTATTCTGTCATAAAGGTAATGTTATCACTCATGGAAGTCAATTATAATTAACAATATTTATTTACATTATCGTACTGCAATGCATACGCATATATATATAATTTCTGATATATAATATTTTTATATACAAGAATATTTTTATGACTTGAATGTGACATTAATTTATTTATCAGTTCCAAGATATGGGATAATATATTTTAGTAATCGATATTATTTAATATGTTATGTTTCTTCATTGTCTCACAAATGTTGTTATTTAGAGTAATAGCTAAAATTTGATATTGACCTAATATGGGAATAGAATTTAATCAGATATTTCTCTTCTATAGGTATTTATTTGCAGCACATATTGTAAAACATTAGTAATGTAGAATGTAAAACACTAAGTACAAGTGCCATGTTGGCACATATTAATAGTCCTTGTGTATTTATTGTCACTGTGTATGTACATTGAAGCATAAAACAAATTGAAAAATGAAGAAACCAAATTTTTTCTGATCTACAAAATAAAGTAATTATTTTATGTTGTATTGTACAATTGTATTAGTTTTTGTATAAGTTAAAAAAATATTTAACTTAAAAAAATATAATAAAAAATGAACTTATAAGAATCAATAAAAGAACAATAAAATTAAGAAATTACTTTTAAAAATGTACTATGACATTTAATATAACCATACCACCTAACCCAAGAGAATTACGTTAATTGTATTCAGTAAGTTTAATTTTTTATTGAATTTTAAGATGTAAATATTTAAGACTATTACATCGTTGGTACAATTACACTTCGTGTGATATTGAAAATTTTTGTACAAAATACGCAGATGATTATTTACCAAATGCTAAGTAAGTGGAATGAACACAGATTGTATTTTTCAAATGTTTTAAGGTTAAATTATTCAATCGCTCATTGCAGGAACATTTTTAAGCAAACTACGCAAGTATTATCATTTAAAAAGATAATTAAATATTGACTTAATATAATTCCATAATTCATTGAATATAATTTGTTTTTATTTTCATTCCTTTATTCTGTCCTCCTTCCATTAACATTTCTAAGGTAAATTGTAATCAGAAAGAGATAATGATTTTTTTTTTCTAAAGATATGAGCGACTGAATTATTGTGTACAAAGTGCCGTCTGTACAATGACTACTTAAAGTAATAAATTTCAAAGCGTTTTCTTAGTTTCCAGATATTTAGGTGTTTGGTCGGTACAAATAGACTCTGTAGAGTATTCTAAGGCTCCACTTTCAGCAGCTCCACATCGAAGATAAGAACAGAATTTGGTGGAATAGTGTGTCTTTGTCAAGGTTAATATAAATAAATATTTATAAATAAACAATGCACAACAATACTATAATGGTGAGATAATCATTTCATAAAAAGAAAAAATATATAAATAAATAATTCTAATATACTACAAGTTTATATTATATTTATCTTTGTATTAAAGGATATACTCCTGGATGTCCTCGACTACCATAAGCAAAGTCTGGTGAACATGTTAGCCTAGCACGTTCTCCAACACACATTTGAGCCACACCTTGATCCCAACCTTTAATTACCTCTCCTCTCCCGATTCTAAATTTAAACGGTTTTCCACGGTCCCTGCTAGAGTCAAATACCTTCCCATTGTTCAAGGTACCTATGATATAATTCAAATCATATTAAAATTGAATAAATCACTTAATAGATAAATATATATCCTTCATATGATATAAAACTTTCATAAGAAAGACATATAATTATTAGGAAAATTTAATAGGTATATAATTAAAATCAAGCTGATATTTATCAGGGAAACAAGAAAAAAAAACATTATTCCCTATGTGATTAATAATGTGTAAAAATTAAAACAATGCTATCGCAAAAAGTAATATAATTTAAATGTATATTTATAAATTCTACATACATATGCACCTACGCGCGAGCGCACACATGCACGCATATAAATTAATAAGAAAATACCATTTATATGGAGGTTAACTCATAAATTATAATACCTGTGTAATGAACGACTACAGTTTGCCCTGTTTTGGGATAAGTTTGACCTGCAAATGTAAATAAATATTATATTTCAAAAAAATATATATATAGACAATGGGTATTATTAATTCAAGTAAATGACTCGCATAAAAGTATTCCAATAACGACGTTCACTGTTAGTTTGATCATTGATCCTAGAGAATAAAAAAAGAAAATTGGGAAAAATAGCTTTTATCGAAAAATATGCAGATGGACGGTGGTCATTTACGAAAAACGTGTTTACGAGTATTCTAAATTGAGGTATATTGAAAAGGAATAATGTAGATAGAATTTCTACAATTCAATAGATTAGGGAAGAAAATGTAGGTAAGAAATAAGAAATCAAAAGAATAATTACCATCACCAGGAGAAAGAACCTCGACATCCACGCCCATGATTGCCTTCTTTTCACTATGGAATTACTTAACTTCTTCAATAAAGGTCTACCTAAAATCCGTTAGAGTTAAGAGAATCGTCAAGACCTGCCAGCAGAAATCGCATAAACGTGCTTTCCGCTACCTTAAGAGACGATTGGAGACGATCCTAAGCCAATGCCACTTGCTGAAAAATAAGGTCTCCTTAGAAACCCCTGGATACCTCTACACTAGGAAAGAAATATCAATTGTTAAAATCGCCGATAGAGGCGCTATTATCGCGCTACTTCCTCTTGAACTATTGTGATCGATGGTAACATTTCCTGGCGGAACATTTCAATTTTCTATATCCTTGCTTTTTCTTATATATATATATATATATGTGTGTGTGTGTGTGTGTGTGTGTGTGCGTGTGCGTGTGTGTAATACGTGACATAAAAAAATTAAAATCGGATTAATTAAAGAATATCTTATATTAACAGATCTTTTATTATTTAATTCTTTTACAATATTCTCTTATATATGAATATATATATGTATATATATATATATACATATTTATTATATATATGTATATATATATATATAATTTATATCATGTACTTAGATCACAGGAATGTATCACAAAATAAAGATAATATTCCGAAGAAATCGAGACATATATTTTATCGATATAAATAAAAATTACTAAAATTCTTTTATACTTATTAAAAAAGGATTATGATAAAAATATAATGTTTCAGAACTAGAATAATAAAGTATAAAATTAAAAATATAGAATGTAAATATTACAATATAGCGAGGAGTAAAATTTGATCTTTTAAATTATTTTAATATTTTAAGTACCCATTAATGATAACAAAATACCTATAAATACTATGCACCATGGAAGAAAGCTTTTACGATAATGATACAAGTACATGTGTATAAATGTACTTATACATTTGTATCAAATATAAGTATATTACGAAAAATATATAAATTAAATATAGCTTATCATTTCTGATTTAATTTCAATAAAAAAAAAAAAAAAAAAAAAATATCAAATATATTCTTAAACATAACTTATAATGATAACACCTTTATATACCCGTATATTGAATGAATGATAGAAACACCTATAAACCTGTGATTTCTAAGAAGTATTATAGTATACTATAAAAGTATATTGGAAAATGGAACACATATAAAATTATATATTATTTTGATGGACTCTCTTTAAGGCCTCCAATTTAAACATGAATTTCACATTCAATTATTCCAACACTGATATTTTTGTTTTTATATAGATATGACTTCTTGAAAGATTTTCATCTTCAAAATAAGGAAAATTTGTTTCTATTCTAATAAGAGACTAGTAATTATATTAAATTATAAGAAGTACACATTTTATCTTATAGTAACATGTATGGATGATTTTCAAAAAGATTCAATTGAATACTTTTTTAAAATCTATGATTTGTGTGTCTTCTTTGGAGAAAAAATTCTTTCTAACAATGCCCGTGTAATACTTCCTGGTATCGGTTGATGTTCCTTTATTAAACTTTCTACAGCTGTAGCGACCTAAATATTATAAGATGGAAACATTTCTGCTATACTTAATATACTAGGAAAATAATCTGTTTTATAAGATAAACTTAAACCTAAAATATATTTAAATCTATTAAGTTATTTACCTTTTTTTGTAATTGTTCAGGTGTAAGATTCTCATCATAAGGAATTGGTTTACCTACATATGTTATCATCTTTACAGGAAAACCACCATAAATTGGAACAACAGGGAATCTTGTTGCTGCATATATACGTAATAATATTCTACGACTCCAAGTTACTGTTCTAAATGCCTCTCTAATATTCCTTGTGAATATTGGGATTATATTCTACAATGTAATATAAGTATTATCATCTAATAAAATTAATATTTAAATATTAATTATATCATATAATATTACTTTATACATACCACTTTAGCATCTAATGCAACTTTTGCAAAACCTATTCTTTTTTTCCATAAAAGTTTATAATAAGAATCTCCAAATTGTGCTTCATAAACACCTCCTGGTAAAATAGCAAGTAAATTTTCTTCTTTCAAAATGGATGAGCATGTCTGAATTGTACCAGGTAATACACGCAAGACATCGGAAATAATAGACCAACCCGGAATTTTAAAAAGGAAACGATCTGCTACTGTGTAGATTAGTTTTGAATTATATATTAATACTTTTGCGATAAAATAGTAGACATCAACGGGTATTGTTCCATGGTAAAATATTAATAATGCTGCTTCAGATTTTGGTATGTTTTCAAGACCTACAACTTCATACCCTGAAAAAAAAAAAACACATGTATATTCCAATGACGTTGAAATTATGACAGATTGTCTCAATGTAGTTATTATTACGAGCAATATCATAACTAATGATCGTATATTTATATACTGCTAGAAAAATTATTATATTCATATTTTTACTAATTCAATTTTAGACATTAAATGTATTATACAAATCATACCATGCCAAATCCATCCGTGTGCATCCCAAACAGCAGCAGCTACAGATTGAGCTGCAATTTTCCAATCAGTTCCATAAGCAGCTTGAATTCTTCCTCTGTAAAATAAATAGTTAATCTAACAAAACAATTGTTTAAAAAAGTTAATATCAAATGAAACAAATATATCATGTGTAATAAATGATAAAAAAATTATTTGAGTATACTAACCTGTGTAATCGGTATATGTATAATATTAAAGCAGTTAAATATAATAGAAAAACAATTATAAGTGGAAGTAAAAATGTTATAAGTAATGGCATTAAAAGCCAGGACAGCCATAGTGTAAAATCCACATCAATGTATTTAACTAAAAATTAAAAAGAACAAGTATATGTCATTTTTATAGTAATATTAGAATATATTTTTATAAATTTACGATACATTCTTACATATATTATAAAAAAAACAAAAAAACAAAAAAAAAAAGCAAGGAAATACTACTTCATTTACAACAAATTTAAGAATACTTTTCTAATAACAAAATATAAAAATAATATAAATTATATATTACCCATAATATCTTGTATTGTTTGTTGTATGTCGAAAGTTATAAAAAACATGTTTTCTTTTTATAAATATAAACAATAAAAATAATTATTTCTTAAAAAAAAATTTCACTAATTAACTTTTATATACATATGCATTATCCTTTTAAAACTGTACAATAATAAAACATATGTTCCAGTATTTGTTTGGAGATTAATAATTAAATATTTACATATTTAATTAAAAGTTCATACGGTATTATGCACTGATAATTATTATATGATAAATCATCAAATTTAAGAGGAATGATTGTTATTTTCACTTTTTTAAAAATTCCTACGTTAATTCACATGCATTATTATACGTTTTTTTTTTTAATAAATAAATAATACGATATACGCGTAATGTACGCATGGAAATATACATATACATATATATATATGTGTGTGTTTATATAAATATACAGATTATATGTACAAATATATATATATATATATAATCTACTATCGTAATCTACTATCTATGTTATCACTCCATCGATGAAAATCAAATTTTGTTTCTTAGTGATTACGAAGTTGGCAAACTACAAGTAGGGAATTTCTTGTTTTTAAAACAGTAGATTTGGAATTGTTGTTCTAGAGATGATTTAATGTTGATGAAAAAAATTGTGTAGAAAGGATACGTTTACACTTGTGTATCATTCTCTCTTTTAGAGAGCGCCACAGTTTAGAATTAAATTCATATTTGTTTATTAATCAACACCGGCAGATGTCGTTCTTGATCATTTAAAGACCAATCAAAGCAATCTTTTCTGAGCGCCATTATTACAAGATTGTTGGATTAAAAAAATTTTGACTACGATTATCTTTCATCAGAAAACATAATATTTATTATTGATTATTATATTTATTATAAGCATAAACAACATACATATACACGATATACATTTTATATGTGCTTATAATAAACTTATAATAGAAAATATTTTATTAATGTATGGAATGTTAGATATAATCAAATTAATATATAAATAAAATTTATCCTAATAACAATATTCTATTCCCAATAATTAGGATTTTGATATATTTTCATTGATTAAATCACCTATTATTTTACCCATTATTTTGTCATGATATAAGACAAAAGAATGAGGAAAGTTATGCTCACAGAGCTTCGTTTCTACATTAGGATGTTTAGCTTTCATGTTTTCATAAAAGCTCATTCGGGTCCACCGATCTTTTACACTATAATAAAGCCAAAGCTTATTCGCATGTTGAGCGATGATATTATCATCAAGTTCTTTTACATTCTTGATTTCCTCATTCGCAAGTCTAAACACTTTTTTAAGTATATGAGGTTGCAAAAATAGAATCACTGCATTAATAGATTTAGCAGGAATACCATAAAATATACCAAATACACGTAATAAAAATACTTTGAAATAATAAGGAAACATAAATGTGAAAAACCAAGAAAAATAAATCAATAAGTTGTCCATGTTAAAGATCTGTAAAAAATTTGCTGTTAAGCATTTCTATAAAGTAATTTTAAATTAGTAGCAAATAAACTTACAATGTTTTTTAAAAAACGTCCATTCGGTGTATCTGCCATATTTTCAATTGTAGGAAAAAGTAAATAACACTTTTCTACTTTCTTAGAGATATCCTCATCTTTTAGCATATTTAATATAAACCAACTTCCAATAGAATGACCTACCAGATATATTTTTGCATCACTTGGAACATATTTTCTTATGAATTGTATCTATGTAAATAAAGCATTACATCTTTTAATTCATTTTTAATAACTTATTAAGTAAAAATTGAAAAAAGAGAAAGAATAATTAACCTTATGTTCTATTTGCGCAGTCAAACCATAATATTTATCCCATTCATTATCACTAGGCATATTTATTTCTAAATCTTTAGGTGGTTGCATATGGCCAGCATGTCCAATGACCCAAACTGATGTTTCAGAAGGCAGTTTTGAGTGAAGAGACTTAATGAAATCATTATAGAATTGTGGAATACCTGGATTCCCAGGAATAACAATCACGACATTCTTTTTATCATCTTGCTGGAAACTTTCCCCAACCCATTTGCCTTCAGTTATTATTTGGGTTTGAACATTGTTCAAGAGAACCAAACCTTCCTGCATGATTTTTTCTGATTTGGAAAAAAATTTTGTAAAACATTAATTAATAAGATTAATTTAAAAATAATATATATATTTATGTTCAATATTTTTTTGAAAACAAATTCATACTATAAGATAATTGTTAATAATAAATCTACAACCACATCAACAATAGAAATAAAATAATTATATATCATAAACAATAGAATGCAAAGTAATGATAAATAATATAAAGTTCATTTAATAATAAATCAAATAAATAATAAAGCTTATAAATCTTACCGATTTACAGAAAGATAAAAGAATTTGTAACCGTCGAATACGAATACTGGGATATATTTACATAAAACTTACTACGCTGTTCAAGTTATACCAACGATTAAAAGTTAACAAAAGGTTACTTGGATAAGATAAACTTTATCGACTGTTGTTAAAGTAAAATTGACGTAAAATGTACCTTAAACATAAAAGTGTAAAAAGAACAAAAAATAATTTTATATTTATATTATGTTTAAAAATTATGGTTGTATTATATGAGAAAAAAGCAGTAATGAACATGTGCCGAAATAGCTCAGTTGGGAGAGCGTTAGACTGAAGATCTAAATGTCCCCGGTTCAATCCCGGGTTTCGGCAAGGAATATTTTTTTTTTGTATCTCTTTTAATAATGAACATGAAAAGAAATTCATTTGTCAAAAGTTTAGGATTCAAAGTAATATTTTTTTCTTAGATATTTTTCTTATTAACTCGATCAATAAAAAAATTTATTATTATTATAATTTGATGTAACAGATATTTATTATTTGAACGTGAGTATCATGTGCCGAAATAGCTCAGTTGGGAGAGCGTTAGACTGAAGATCTAAATGTCCCCGGTTCAATCCCGGGTTTCGGCAGGGAATTTTTTTTTTCATTATTTCCACTATTTCCTTATTAAATAAATGTAGAAATTATTTTTGTTATTGTTTTTGTTTTATTACAATTTATCATAACATTAAATTATATCAGAACGATAATTCGAAACAACGAAATAATTCGATTATGTAAGTAAATGATCACATCGAACATCACGAAAATATGAAATTACAATGAAACAAGCGATACTTTTAGATCGATCTCGATAAAACGTACAGTATGTATCAGATACATAAAAATCGATAAGTTATCGCGCTTACAATGATCTCACGTTTCGATTTCTAACATATGTATATATGTGTACTAGAGATTCTATATAACGATCGATCTGTTGAAATTTTTTCCCAGAAGTATCAGACATATAGATCTGAAAGTTGAGAGAGAAAGAATGAAGAAAGGAAGAGATAAAAAAGAAAGAAACAAAAAAGAGGAACAATAGGAAAAAGAAACAAATGGAATTAATGAAATTCTACATATGAACGAAATGGAATAGTAGATAAATAAAAACGTCGTATCAGAACGATATTGCTTTGAATTGATAAGGAATAAGTAGAGGTTAGAAAAATCGTACACGATCATAAGTACATAAGAAAAGGAACTTTTCTTCTTACAATTAAATATAATTTACATGGTTTATCGTTTAATTCTTGATACGATAGGAGGAAGATATTAAGACAAGTTCTAACCACAGTTATTTCTATCAGGAATGCAAAACTGAATATTACAGACAGTAAGCGCCATTTTGGTAACTAGTTTTGCGGCTCTTTTATTCTACATTATCTCGATAGTTGTACGTTGTACATACAACGCCGCGTGTGGTATTAGCAATGGAACGGTAGCAGCTGAGAAAGCGGTCGGTAGATGGTTAGACGTAGAGGAGGAGTAAGAGGAGGGAAGCAAGCAAGCAAGCAAGCAAGCAAGCAAGCAAGCAAGTCAGCCAGCAAGCAAGCAAGCAAGCAAGCAAGCAAGCAAGCAAGCAAGCAAGCAAGCAAGCAAGGAAGAAAGCACGCTAGCAAGCAAGCTAGCAAGCGAGTGAGTGAGTGAGTGAGCAAACGAGCGAGCGAGTGAGCGAGCAAGCAAGCAAGCAAGCAAGCAAGCAAGCAACGACGTTCCACCGACAGTACCGCGCTTGAAAGATGGCGGAGGGTAATTCGAAAGCGCGCGTTATATAGTCGCTCGTTGAACGCGCATGCGCAATGACAGTAACTCGCGTGGCCGCGATGGTGTCGATGGGCGTGGCCAATTCGCCAACGAACTTGCACCGGCTGGCACTGTGTTGCTCCCTGCAAAAAACCACACGGAATACGACGTCACTGGTTTCGCCGTTCTCTCTCTCTCTCTCTCCCCCCCCCTCTCTCTCTCTCTCTCTCTCTATCTATCTATCTATCTATCTCTTTCTCTCTCTCTCTTTCTCTTGACTGGAGGAAAAGTAATGCATTTTTTTTAGAAAATGAGAAATAGAAAAAGTACCGAGGGTGTAACTAATACGATCAACCAATACTTCTCTCTATCCTGTCATTCATGAACGATATCGAGAAATTTTGTTCGATACTTAAATAAATAAATAAATAAATTCCGGTATTTTCGAAAATATCGACAGATATTTTTCTTTAATTACCTGGAAATCTTATAGTAGGAAATTCATTTAGTAAATATTTAATCTTTGGATAATTTTGAGAGACAGTAAAGACGTTACAATAAGATATTAAATGGAATATATATCGAGTTGAAGATTGAATTTACTTTTGAAATACAATTACTTTGCGATGGAATACAGCGGTTTAAAAATTTCCTATTGAAATATAAAAAGGATCAAATAATTAGGATGTATTTCTTCGATAAAGCTACGAGTAAACCTGAAAAATGTATTTGTCTTCGAAGTAGGTAGGTTTACTGGAATAATGAAAACGACGTAAAGAAAGAAGTTTAGGAAGATGGTCGTAAAGATATCATGGATAAATACATTTGAGGTCCCTTTTGTCGAAAAGTACATGGTTTCGTGGTACGACCGAACAGCAGGGGAGAGAGGGAGCGGTCAGCGGTCATACCTTTATGAAAAGAT